ATGCGTCTTGGATATTATCGTTATTCAGTTCCTAGAATTTCCATACGAATTCGAAGTAATATTCAGTATTTGTCACATATGACGTAGGCGACGACAATGGCAGTGACGAACTCTTCGCTCGATCGTGACGATCGTCAAAGCAACAATTAAAAAATATACATATATAAATTTGTTACATATATGTTAAGCTATCTAGCAATTTGTGTTTGTATTGATAATGCAATTCTGTTCATTAATTCACATTTGGAACAGCTTAACAACTGTGGGGCAAACCGGAATTGGCAACGGAATCGGAAATGCCTGCTTACCTATTGCAATTTGAACTGCTCTCTGAGTTTAGGGTCATGTCATTTCATTGTAGGCTCTACTCAGGTTGTTCATTGAATGAAGCAGCTGATTTAGGTTTACTTCTTGATCATAAGTTAAAAATCGATAGTCACAATGAATTCACTGCTTTGAAGTTCTTGGCTCTATTAAGCATTGCTCAATGGAATTTATTGACCCTTAGCCGACCAAGATACTTTTCACTCTTCTCTTGTACAATTCTGGAACAGATATCTTTTGTGTGGTCACCTTAATAACCGATTCGCCAAAGTAGATTGGAGTCTGTGCAGAAGAGTTGCTTCAAAACAGTCTCGTTACTTCTGCCCACTTCCTTGCATGAGTTTCGAGTACTCTGCCATGATTACAGTAGCCTCTATCATGTCAGCAATTCAGAGTCCTCCATTTCTTTAATTAAGAACTCATTGGAACCGTTCTGTGTCGTGAATAACTAATTTATACTAATTATTTTTTGGTCTGATTGGGGGTTTTTCTGTATTTAAAAACCCCCAGAAATCTCATAAATATTTTGTATTTTTGAATTTTAAATTTTGTTTTTAATACAATTTAATTGAATTTGTTATTTCTTGTATTTTTTTTTTTTGTATTGACTGACTTTAGTTGACATTAAATAAAAATAAATAATGTTTGTTTCAGCTGATATAAGAGAATATATATAATATATAATAGATCATAAATTTGAAGCGGAGGCAGACGGGCATGGCTAGATCGACTCGGATATAGATGCTGATCATCATATGTGCATATCACTTCTGCTACTTTCTGGCTTTTACATACTTTTCTAGAACTGCATTATAGCATTTTAATGGGTTCTGGTTCTATCAAGAAAGAGCTGTGATTCAATCCCATTACATGTTTAAAAAACTGACAAAGCTATATGAAAAATTTCTCCGATGTTGATAATTTTTTGAGCAGTCGCTGCTCTTTCACCGATTTTAAATAATTGCAAACTGAACAGTTCTCATTTGTTTTTCGAAACTTTTAATATTATAATTATCCTATTAACAAACCGTAACCAATATGTAAAATACGATTAGTGCCCCAAAAAAGTTTGATAGAATACCGGATCTTAACCAGAATTTTTATACTTTACATACCAGAATCGGTATCAGAACGGATTCAGTTTTGATAACCTAGTTAAATATAACACCAACTAACTTAAATTAATATAATGCACATATTCGAAGTGTTCACTCTTCGAAATCAATGACTTTCATATCGAATATTTCAAGTCAAATGATTTCTATAGAGAAATGCGTTAAACCGGAATCGGAACTGAAATGTAACATTGTTTTATTAGGTGGCAGCAACCGTAACAAATATTGATAGTAGCGATAAAACCATATCGGCACCAAAAACACACCCGCAACTAAGTTATTTATCAGCTTTAATTCCACTGGTACCAGAGTATTCCCCAGTTGCAGTAAAGCCCGTATCATTAAAATCAAGGTACCAATATGCAACCGAATAACTAAATAATACCATTTTAGAAAAGAAATCTTAAGTTGAATTTAAATTCGAACAATTTTAAAGTGTTTTTATGTTCCCTAGATATGAATATTTTTAAAAATAGATGTTAATACTAAACTAGTTTTATCACCAAGAAGAAACCACTGAAAGCCTCTCAAATAATCCATAATTTGAATCCGAGAAATCAGTAAAAGTCGCTCAAAAAATTAAAAAAAAAAAACATTGGTTAACTTTTGACCCCTTTCCAATTTAAATAGTTTAAAATATATATAATATAAAGATTTTCTGTCCTGCAAATAATGAATAAATATAATAAGTTCATTTGTGAAATTCTACTATATATTATATACACTTAATGGTTATGCTGATTATATATATATTTAAAAGTAATATTCTAAAATATATTTCCGAGTAAAACGCATATCGCTTTAACCAACATTTTGCTTTTATTTAAAAAAAATAATCATTGACAAGATTTCCAAGAAAATTGCAAATGAATAAATTAAAATTATTTACAACTTTCTTACTAAGTCAGAAAATTGTTTTTATCGGTGGTCGTGGTTAGCTTGTGGCAACTATATACATATATATTTATATATATATTATATATATGTATCGATTTCCGCTCAACCCTAAGGAGACAATGCTGCTTGGCCAAGTGCAGTAGCCTGGCAAATTAGCGTTTGGGCCATCGATTGAACAATCAACCCTCGGCTTCACATTAACACTCAACGGCCTTGACGACTGCCTGCCCCGTGCTCTGACCATTTGTCCATTTGTCTGTTTGTCTGTCCTTCTGTCCCTTTGTCTGCCTGTTGTGCCTGGTTATCTAATTGAGTGCGCCGAGGGTCGTCAGACATTTGGAAGTGCCAGCGTCGCCAGTGGCATTCATTGCACTCAGACTCAGACTCGGACTCAGACTCACTCCCAGACAGAGACTGAATCTGGCTTATCTGGTGGCATCCACGGTGTCCTCGGGCAATTTGTGTGCGCGGTTGCTGCTTAATGGCTGCCCAGGCCAAGATTTAGGTGGCACTTTGGGCTGCCTTGGCTACCTGTGCCACTTTTCGCTGCAGCGCCTAATGGCTTCGAGATCGCCTAATAGCTGCATTTAGCACGCGTCAAGCGACAGTGTTCAGTCGCAAATGAGAAACTTAGAACAAATGTATTAATATAAATATTTAATTATTTAATTGTTTTATTGAAGTAAACGGAATGTAAGGAATGAAGGAAACGCTTTAATTTTTAATATGCAAATTAAAAACTTAAAAAATTAAGTTTTAAAATATGTATTTGATTAATTGTTTAGTCAAATAAGAATTTTAAAAATTAGATAACGAGTTTGAACCATACGTTCTGAAACTAGTTAAGAATTGACTGAATTCCTCAATTAAAAATTATATTTTTAGGATTTGTTTATTGTATCACAGCTGTTTTCATTAAACTTTTCAGGATTGTCTTGTGAATTATTATATTAATTTATTCTGAACTATGAACAGAAAACAGAACTTAACAAACAGACTTAAATTTTAAATTTGATTTTTTAAATAAATTCAAAAACAAAAAAATAAAACAAACAAAAAACCAATTTAAAAAATTAAAATAGGAAAATAATTTTCAAATTCCAATGAATGTTTCCAAAATAGGTTGATAAATGTTTTCCAATCGTGTTTATTTTAGTTCAGCAAACATATAGTTTTAATATATGCAGCGTTCACTGTACCTGCGAGATACATTTAAGAAAAAAAAACACAGTCCAAGCAACAAATGGCCAATTGGCGAGATGCTAACGCAACCTGTCGCTGCCTGCAGCTCGGAATTCCAAGTAGGAGGTAATTCACTCTTTATGTGTGCGTTTGTGCGTTTATGTGTGTGTGTGTATGTGTGTGTGTGTTTGTGTTGTGCGTGCGTATCCGTGTGTAGAAACCCCGATGAGTCATCCTAATCGCTGCGAGCGAGTGAGGTGCGTGGGCTGCCACATTGGCATACATAGCATGCATAACAAAACATGTGCGCGAGTGTGAGAGAGATGGAGAGAGAGAGAGAGCGAGAGAAGCGGCAATGAAATCAAAACAAAAAACGCGGCCAACAGCCGAGCAGCGCAGCCAAGTAGAAAATGTCAACAAACGCGAGCAGCGCGCCAAATTCACAAATTTTTTTTTGTACACTCAAACAAAGCGAGCGCGCTCTCTCTTTTTTATCATTTGATTTTGAGTGATGCCAATAGAGAGAGAGACAGAGAGAGAGGGACAGCTAGATTGAGAGCGAGAGCGAGCACTTGAGTTGGGATGTGTAAGCTCCACTCAAAATATCGTATCGCATGCGAGAATTTAGATAGCTGGTTTTTGGCTTGGGTGCCGCTGCTGTGTGTGTGTGTGTGTGCGTGAGCGAGCACACGCGCTCTCTCTCTTTGCTGTCTGCCTTTTGGGCAATTATTCTGACAGTCATTGTCTGCTCTCTCTCTCGCTCTCTCTCTCTCTGTCTCTGCCTGTGTGCAGTCTTTCGTCAGGGGAGACGCATGACGTGAACGTGAACTGCCAACATTGGTTCCATCCGCCAATTGAATTGAGAACCAATAGCAAGATTTACTTTCTCATTTAGAAGAGATATTTTGACTGTAATAAAATTATAAATTCTTGATACTACTTTAAGTAAACAAACTAACTGTATAAATATTATTATTAGTTTGAGAACTCATTTAAGCTTCCAAAAATATATGCACTCTGAAGATGTGTTCAAAATATGGTTCTCCTTATTATTCTGAATTGCAGTCTTGTTGAAGACTTTTTTATCGAATCTATTTCTCATGAATATCTAAATATATAAATATATAAAGAAACTGCCTGAAAAGCATAAGCTTTAAATTTGTAATTAAAAGTTAAGAGATACAAACACAATAATCATGAAATCAATTTTGCTTATAATTATTAATTATGAATCATAGACGAATAATATTATGCCAATTTAAATCGGATCTTCTGTCTTGAAAAACGAAGACAATAAGATAAATACTAAATAATAATAATCCGCGCAGTTGTAATTGTCATTAGTTCCATTTATTGCCCAACCCTGGTGCACAAAAAAATCTTCAATTTCCAGCAAGGCGCATGTATTCGTGCGTATCTGTGTGTGAGTCTGTTTGCGTGTGTGTGCGTGTATGTGCTGCTGCTGCTTGTATGGCTAAAACGTCACGAGCGTACGGATGACGATGGCGGCGGGCTGGTTGGGAGCTACTAGCTCAGTTATTTTTCGCTTTTTGTTAAGGCAACGCGACTGCAACGACGGCAACGGAAAGCCACGCGGCTCTGCGTCCCCATTCTCTGTCTCTGTCTATCCGTGTAGTTAGTTAGTTAGTTATCCACACATATATTCCCCCCTAACTGTCGCTCGCTCGCTCCGTCTCTCTCCCTCACTCACTAACGGACAACAGACGATTTAATTGTTGTTATGCGTTCTTGTTCTTGTTACGTTTTTCGCAAGTGAAATATTTATTTATTTAGTTCCCCCGTCAGATACTTTGTGCAGTTGTTGTTTCTTTTATCCAACAAATAAAACGCAAAGTAAAAGACATTGTGTGCGTGTGTACGTGTCTGTGTGTGTGTTTGTGTGTTTCTCTTATCGCCGTCAAACGTCACCAGAGTGTTGGTTGTTAAATTGCGACATCCAACAACAACAACACATTCAACAGCCGTCAACGTTTTCGAAACTTTCAATTCGCCGTACGAAGTTCAAAGCGAATTGTGGGCGACGGCGACGCGGGGCCTCATTGCCAGTTAATCTAGAAAATTCTGCTGTTAACAAAATTTAAACATTAACACAAAACAAAAGACAGCAACAACAACAACAACAATTTGACAGCTGGAACTGTGAACTGCAAGCAGAGAGCAAAAGAGAGTAAGACAGTGCCACTGTGTATGTGTGTGTGTGAGCACAGAGAGAGCGCCAGCTGCGTGTACGTATAAACGGAAGAGAGAAAGAAAGAAAATAAATAAAGAAACGCCCGCACATGTAAAGAGTTGACCAAGTGCAACACGAAACGAAAATTAGTGCAAAGTGTAAAAAGTCAACCAGCAACAACAACAACAATGAAAGTTAAAGTTGAACGCACAAAAGCAAACACAAAAACAACGGCTGCAAAGAAAGAGCGTGAGCGAGAAGTAGAAGATGAAGAGGTGACAACGACGCAAGAACTGGACTTTTTGCCCGACATGTCAACAACAACGATATCGACAACAACAACAACATCAACGGCGACAACGGCGCGCAATCTTATCGTAAGTCTCTTATTTTTTTTAGCTTCCACACTCTACTTGGGAACGGGTAGTGGGGGGCGGCGAATTGCATAAAACGCAATAACAGTTACGTCTCTCTCTCTCTCTCTTTGTATCTATGCAGTCCATTTGCAAAAACTTCCCAGCTAAAATAATCAACAGCTTGTGGTTTTTTTTTTCAACAAAAAAACTTGTTTTAATAAAATTAACCGACTGAGTTTTTTTAATATTTTTTTTTCACGAATATTCGTCGAATTGTATTGTGCGCAATTTGATTGTATCTTTCCACAGTTCGCCACAGTTGTCGTTGGCCTTTATTTTTTGTAGTGTTATTCGTATTTATTTTGTCGACATCTTTGGAATTTCAATTCACACTTTTGTTGTTGTTTCCCATTTGCCTCGCTCTCTCTCCACACACACACATGCAGTCGCCACACAGATACGTTCGTGCTCTCTCGCACACACGTACGCTAGTTGGCTCGCTTTTTATCGCATGCGATAGTTGATATTCTGCTCTCGCTCTCGCTCACTCAATGATTTTTTTTTGCGCTCAGTTTGCGAATTATTTCATCATGCGGCATTTGAAGGCTGGCCGCGCATTTGATTATGTTTTCGGTTTTCTGTTTTCGGTTCTTGACTTTTTTGTTTTACTCTTTGCCATTTCAGCAATTTTTCCCCCTTTTTTTGTTTGTGCTTTTCTGTGCAACTTTTTGCGTAGGCGTCGCCCACATTTGCCATTTTCAATTGCAGCACGTGCGATTCACAAGAAGTTTTCTTTTAAATATTTTTTGTCAGTTGCATTCGTCTGCTTGCAGCCAGACGCCAGCTTTTGCTTGTGGTAAGGTCAAGGTTAAGCATCTAGCGCGTGGTAGTTGCCGCTAATTTGTGACCCACTACTGATTAGTCATCGGGGGGCTTGAATTGTTGGAATTAGCTTAATTTTAGCAAATTATGGGCTCGACATCAGCTGTTGCATGATTGATGTTGATTGTTCTATGAAAAAGGGAACCGAGCTAAAGCTAAAGCTGTTTTTATTTATCAACTAGAGTCAGTCAAAGTCAAATTAAGTGTAAATAAAAAGATCAGAAATATTTATGACATATTTAAATATATATTACACGATTGATGATGATTGATTAATAAGAGATCCTAAATGAGTGTTGTAAATTTATCATTAAAGTATCTGGAAAATGTTGTTTGATTGAAAACAATTTTTTTTTTGCTTACAGTTTGGTGATTGATAAATTAGATTAGTCTTTAGGCTATCAGCTGAAACTGTATTTGAACGTACTAAACGATTGATAACAATTGATCGATAACAATTTGGAGATTGGCAGCGTAAGCAAAGAGTGTTGTATAATTCTTAAATGCTTCTTAGCATTGGTGATTTAAAGAAATGATTGAACAATAATAAGTGAAAAGTTAGACTTCGACTTCAAGCTGTATTGAAATGTACTACACATTTAATGATGCTTGAACAATAATAAATCAGACATCAGTGTTGTAAGTTACTTGAGACAGCATACAAAATTAGCATTGTATAATTCTGAAAAGTTTTGTAGCAGTAATAAAAACTTTGCTGGGATGGTTAATGATTTATGTTAAATTAGTGTTAGTATTGTTTAAGAGTTAACAAATATCTTTAGCAGCTGTTCAACTGCAATTTAATAGCAAAGTATCAAATTAGTAGCTGTTAAAATCATATGCTTGATTGACTGATCAACATATGCTGAATTTTAAAAAGATTAGATTAAGTCATAAGCTTTTTAATAATGTAACAAAAACAGGGTTTTTTGTTTTGTGTTTTCTGCTTTATATTAGCTAGTTAGTTTTAAGCTTATTAAATGGTCAGGCTTTTGGATTGTTTGGCCTGTTATTGTTGTTAAGATATGTGCATACTTATGTGCTACAATGTTGCCATGAATTTCGCAGCAAAATTAAATACAATGCCAAGGTCAAATTTGAGCACAGCTGCCACAGCTGCTTAGCCTGCCCCGTGTTTCCACCTGCCCCCTTGCCACACTGGCAACTGCAATTGGAATGTCAAACGACTCACGCGTTTTATTTGTATTTATCGTGGATGCTTTTGGAATTGCAAGTTTTGTGAGTTGTGAATTGTGGATGCGTCTCCAGGCCGTAAAAGGCGAGTTGCACTTGAATCAAACAACAATAATAATGTCATTTTTAGTTGATTGTTGTTGTTGCTGCATAATATATATATGCATAAGTTGTTGTATGCATAAATATATTCATGCATTAAGTGGCAAACGCATTAAAAGTCAATCCTCACAGGTGATAAACCTTTTTACGACTCGAACACTTTTATTTCATTTTTAATGAAATACTCAAAGCAAAAGTCTGCACTTAGAGAAAATGTAGAATTTTGTGCTGTGCCGATTTTGTGAGTCTTTATAACTGAGACAGAGAGAGCGAGAGAGCTAAGAGTTTTTTCCTCGTTTTGTATTTCTTTCTCCTATTTCAAGTGCAAAACGTTCGTTTCTATATCAAGCACATTTTTGCTCGTATTTCCAGTCCAATAATTGTAGCAAATCATTTCTATATCATGTATTTTTTACTAGCAGTTCGTTTAAGTTTTTTTCTCTGCATGCTCAATTGGAAAATAAAACTCTTTCAAAAGAAACAGAAACGCTTGTTGCCGAGGCGAGCGACAGAAATTGGCAAATTTAATGCGCGCATCAACTAAAAATAAATATCAAATAAAAAGTGCCAACTGCAGCGACGTTTATTAAACAACAATAAATAAATACAAATATATATATACAATTAAGAAATTAATTGTTGTTGCTTGAGTGTTTGTTTGCTCTTTTTGGACTTTATGGGTGTATTAACTTGGACGCGCTAAGTTTATCACTTTTGCGACGTCCTCGCTCTGAAAATACAACAAAAAAGAAGAACTTTATCACACTTTGTTCAATTGTATTTCTAAGAAAATGACTTGAAGTTTATCTGGTATTATTGGACAATTACCAGTTATGCAAACCTCACAGTGTAAAGTATATGGCATATCTTGCCATACTTCTATAAATATATATAAATATTTGTTGTCTGATTCTTTCATGTCAATCGCGTAGTTGTGTATTAAATTAGCATTTTGTGAAATTTCGAATCGACAGAATATACAAATGAACTTTATATAAAATATTAGTGTCATTTATTATAAGAAAATATCTTTTTTGCTATCTGTATGAAAGAAATCTTAAACAAACGGTATATATAGTTGATTAATAACGTCTATATAATAATTCGTTTTGTTTGGATATATCTTTTATAATTGAAATAGTTTCTTGTATTTCTTATTTTTACTTATACTGATATTTCTATATTCTTTTTTTTTCTGTTCCACAATGCACAATAAAAAGCTGTTGTATACACGAATACAGCCATAAATCTGATAAGTAACAAGTAAGACTGCTGTAGTTGAGTGAGCTATACTACGAGATACCCTGCAAATATTCTACTTTAGTTTTATTGTCAAATTTCCCTTTAAAAGCAAGCTTGAAAGTGATTCTATTTCCTATGATTAGCACAGCTACTGAAGATAGTACTGAGATCAGTATGATAATGTATGCATATGTATATTATAAATCAGCCCCTGCCTTTAAAATTGTGATTCGAAAATCGATATATATCGATATAAATCAAGTAAACTCAAGATTAATATACGCTCAATCTTTGAAATATATATTAGACTATAGCAATGAGAACAGCTTTTAATTTTAATAATAATAACACAGTTTTATTATTTAGGAATTTCTGCTTGAAGAATGCTGATTCCTTCTGGGCAAACGTGAACTTATATACAAAATTTGAAGTCTCTAGCTATTATAGTCTAGCAGTTTGAATTTGAAAACAGAAACTTTATTTCAAAATTACGTAATTTCAACTTTTGATGCTGAATGTTGGAAGAAATTCGGACTTTGGACAATTATTGGAGTTTGCCTGTTAATCCTGATCAAGACTACATATGCTTTATGAGATTGGGACGACTTCTTTCATTTTCAATGGGTATATCAAATTGAACGAGCTAATAAACATAATAAACACATCGTGATATCAGGGAACCCCCAATTCGAAATCTGAGAAAAAAAAACCAACCTTAGCACTCGCTTCAACTGCGTTCGATTTCTTTGTTCGTCTATATCTATATATATATATATATATATCGCTTATGCGCTACGCTCGGGACTATCTCTAATGCTGAAACTTGACTTGGGCTGGCTGTTAAAATATGTATGCATTCATTTTTATTTGTTGATAAGCCGGTTTTTTTTTTTCTTTGAGACGATCGTTTGTATTTAGTACCAAATTTGGTAGTTACTTTGTGTGCTGGCTGACGTCACAAAGCGACAGAGAAACAGAGCGAGAGAGAGAGAGAGAAAGATAGATATATGTATATATATAAATATATATTGATATAGCATTATAATTGAGGTTGCGTATACGCAGCGTTTGTTTCCTTTTGTTATTGCCAAAAATGCTAAATACAATAATACGAGGCGTCGAAGTACCAAAATTATGTCATGATATATTTTTCAACTGGCGCGCGAAGTGTGAAAGAGGTGGAAAATTGGACGGGAAATTCTAGTCAAATGTCAAATGTTGCGTGTTTTCACTTTCGATTTTCATTAGTCAACAAACAAAAAAAAAAAAAAAACGAAGAAATTTGACAGGCGGCGGTTTGGGAAAATTCTCGGAAAATTTGTCGTTTGTTGAACTGTTGGCAAAGGTTATGACTACGCCTGAATTGGGGGAGGGGGGTTAGATTTCATTAGAGTGCCCTGTTTTTTTTCGATCAACTGTAATTGAGTTTGTACAAGTTTTTAGGTTTGGTTTGGTTTGGTTTGGTTTAATGTTTTAATGCGCATTTCGGCAGCGGAAATTGCAAGAAAAAAAAGGAGGCAAAAAATCGCAGAACATCTGGCTGAAAAATAAAAAGTGCAACATCAGTGAAAGATTTACACGCCCCACTGGCAACGCCACACATTGAGTTGTTGTTGTTGTTGTTGCTGCTGCTGCTTGTGGCTCGTGTTGAAGATTATTTTGTGACGAGTCATGGCGCCGAATTCCAAGAAAGAGGCGCAGCATTCCGCTCTGCCAGCGGAACAGCACTTCGAGAAGTGCGAATAAATACGATAAAGGCGTACAGTGAACGCCCGCTAAGTAGGCAAAAATCGAAAGTGTTAACTATTGTAAGCATAGCATTAAGTTTTAGGTTGAACCCAGGGTTTTTTTTTTATATATATCCATAGTAAAAAGTGTCTTATAAGGAAAAGTTGGAAAATGTTGTGCTAGATAGGCAATTTCTAAAAGAAAAACTGTGAATGGGTGAGATTCGGATTGACTATAATCATTTCGGACCGGAATACAGGAAAAACCACAAATCAAAGGAAAATCACATTTGCTAAATTGAACTATAAATTATTATACACACTTTAAAGTATTGAACAAACTCGAACTATCTCAAAAAAATATGTTTATTTTTTATATTTTATACGAACATTGAGCCCATAAAAATAATATTGAAAACTAAAACCATTTAGTAAATTGAAATTGAAATCAAAATTAATACAAATCAACGTTTGTTTTCGATGAGGAAACTAGGTTTGTTTTGGCAAATGAGCTATACAAATATAGTAATATAAATTCCGAGAACGGGAGCGATTGGGATCAAATAATTATTACTGCGCCTAATTATTAATTCCAGTCAATTAGAAAGCGCCTACTGTAGTACAGCACCTGCTTTACTGTTATCTATCTAAGCGTTAAATAAATTAAGATTGTTTACTGTATTTCCACATTATCACTTGATTAGCAAATAACAAAAAACGTTTGTAGATTTCAAAAAAGGGGAACCACTGTTTCCAATTGTGGAGCGTTCACTGTAAGAGCAACAGAGAAGAGTTGGCAGCAACGACAAACGCAGCGCCAGCAGGCATTTTGCGACGTGGCAGCTCCTTTTGCTTTTAGCACATGTTGTTGTTGTTTGCTTTGTAGTTATTCTTGTTGTTGTTGCTTTGCCTTAAAATATGATGGGGATTTCCAACGGCTGTGCGCTCTTTTGCACTTGCAGCTAAAGCGCTCTCTGCAAAAGCGCTCAACGTTCACTTTGACTCAAGCTCTCTTGCGCTCAATGTTCGCTCTCTCTTTGTTTCTCTCTCTCACTCTCTCGCGTGCGCAGTTTGAGTGCTTTTTGCCTGGTGTGAAACGTGTTTGAGTGGAAGTGTTTTTGTTGCTTTTTTTGCTTGCGGCTGCTCCTACGCCAAGTGTGCGCTCCTCCCCCCCCCCCACCCCCGCCCTTCCCGCACGCTGTGTTAGCCGGGCTTCAAAAAATCGCATGATTTCTGGCTAAACGGCGCATGAATCATCGCTGAACGTCGTTTGGCGTGGCGTGGCATGGCGTAGTTGTAGTTGTAGTCGTAGTTGTGGCCAACAACATTCAGTTCAATTCAATCATTTCACGCTCTGCTTTTTTCGTTGTTGTTGTTGTTGTTTTCTTCCTTGTCTTTTATTAGCCGCATGAATGAAATTTTACGTTGATATCGCTGCTAAAGTTGATTCTAGTATTTTTTTTTTTGCTTGTTGATATTTAGCAATACCCTCAACACTGATCTCATGTCTGATGTGGCCCTGAACACATTTACTCGTATATATACATCAACATTTGAGTTGGATATATCTGCGAGAAGATTGGGTTTACTCCTTTGAGGTCGCCGATGATTCACAGGTATATCCTGAAGAAGGGATCGGTATCTCCATATATTTCAGCAGTTGAGTTTCAAAGCTTTTCTATTTTAATCTCTGAGATCAGAATCAGCCAAAGTCATCGTCAAAAGCTATTTTTAGTTTCCTGAACTCATCAGATTTAATCTTAGACATTTTATTATTAAGTATTTCATGAAACAATTTTTGTTTTAATCGAATTGAATCGATTTGAACATATTTATTTATTTATAAATTCCAAAACGAGTACAAATTGCTTACGAAATATACCAAAATTTAATTGCTACGCTGTGACACTTCAACGCTGGCCAAGATAACGGTAATATCATCGGGCTTGCCACCAGCGCCATAGTTCATATTGTTGGCCTTGGCCCTCAAAGCGAAGGGTGACTGATAATCGGTGCGGAGGGACAAACGCTTGGCCAAATCCACCAGTCGATTGGCAGCCAGTTGCACTTTTTCCACTCTCGTCTCGCCGTGCAACTGCTGCAGCTGCTGCACCAACTCACTCTCGACCACATTGTCGAAGAGGCCATCAGTTGCGACGAGGACAAGATCGCCCTGCTGCAGGCCGAGCTGTGTGCAGATCGCCTCCTCCGGCTGATCGGAGAGCACCTTGTGCATTTGCGATGTGGGTGGCACAGACAGCTGATATGGCGTATTAAATACGTGCAACTGTTCATCGGAACGATGCAACACCTTGCCGTGCCGCAGCACCAGGAAACCACTGTCCCCCAAATTGGCCGAGTGCAACGTGCAATCGGATCGATGGAGACTCACCAGGCAGGCGGTGCTGCTGCCCCAAACATTTGTGGCATGCTCCTTCAAACGATGATAGCCATCGATGAGCAGCTGACGTGGATTCCTACCATCGTAATCGGCCTGTTCGCTCAACTTCGAACAGTTGGTCATCAGCTGCTTGGCAAAGACACCGGAATCGATGCCCATTTGACGCCAGCCGCCCACGCCATCGGCCACGCCCATAGTTTCCGACTTGGGCGCACTGTGCACAAACCAACTGTCCTCGCCGAAACGCTGCACCTGCCCAGCTAGCTGCTGATCCTTGGAGCTGCCCTGCACCGCCTTGATCAGCCGGGGTGTTCCCTTGTAGCTGCTCAGCTGGCAACGCTGGCAACTGGCATAGTTCAACAGCACCTGGCAACACCTGCCTTTCCCTAACTGACACACTTTAAAAAACATCCTTGAACTTTTCGAAACGAATTCTGAAAATGGATAATGATCATTAGTTTGACTTAGGCTGTATAATTTTGCTATAGATCTATGAATGAATATATACCTATATATATATGTATATATATAAACATAATTAGTTTAGCCTGCTATTCGAATTCCTCTTTTGAAATCGTTTCTTATCTCAATTTAGCTGAGGTTAAACATTTGCATCTTAACTCTCTTCAATAAAGAAATAAATAAATTGTGCCTTATCTGAACTTTTAAGTATTTATCGAATAAATATAGTGTTTTTTTTTTATTGTTGACCTTACATTATTTATAAGCGGTCATTTGCAGTGTAAACATAAACCGCATTTGCGCTTTGATTCTTTCAAGTATGAATATAATTATATTTTAAAAGCGCAAACACAACAAGCGGGACTCGAATAACAAAAGTGTTTTTATTGCTATTAAATAAGTTGCCTCTCTATGTAGTCATCACTCTCTTTTAGTCTTGAAAGGACCAGATTTGCCTTGTAGAGAAGTGGAAAAGCCCTTGTAACCACAAAGCGGGAAACTCCCATAAGAAAGTTGCAGAAAATCCACAGTTTGCCAGGCCAACGTTTCTAAATTATATAAATTATAGTACACACTTTGTTGCTTCGATTTAGAAAGATAATAATCCCGAAAGTTATATATATATTTTTTTTAATAATATTTAGTTGACGGTGGACTTTGCTTTGTTATTTATTTAGGTGCCACTAAAGAATTGTACGTCTTCCTTACTAAATTTCGCTTAGACTTTGGACTCATGACTCATAAGTGCTGAATTGCACATTTCCGATATTGTTTTTGAATCGCATAAAGAACCATACACTATTCTTCTTAGCAATTTTGTATGTATCTATTCCCTGGAACTTCAATATAAGTTAAACAAACTTGGCCCCTTTCAATATGTAGTTTTATGATTCGTATAAAAAAAAACATCAGTCTTTATCAACAGGTTGAATGCTTGTATAGAAATTTCTGCCAATTCTATAGAAATTTCTTTGTTGTGCTTTAATATAAATACACCGTCTCTCATTCAATATTGGTGATTTCTTGGTAATTACGTTGTGGGCTTTGTGTAATCTTATCGGGTTACTTATCTGGTTAGACAGGGCCTACGACACAATGTCAATAACTTTGCCACCTTTTATGTATTTGTTCCTTTGACTTTTGATTTTGTTTTTTTTTTATTACTTTGTATAAATCATCACCGGAAGTTTTCGAAATCACATGCGAATCTCTTATCGCGATGGCTATCAAGGCTGCCCAGTATAACAATGGGTAAACAAATGCATAATGCCGAATTTATTTATAAACTACTGATGTAAACCCTTGCCAAAGTCACGCGTGGCTTATCAGTTGCAGGTGCGATTGAACTGAACGGCCGGCATTGAATATTACTCGATTGAGTCCAGCACTTTCCTAGTAATGTGTCTATGCCTTTGATATATCTTTTCTTGAAAATCGTGTAAAATCATAGCTGAGGATTGTCAGTATAAAAGATATAAAAATTGAAAATTAGAATCACAATTTGTTTTTGTTAAATAACTAATTATAATCACAATTTGAAGAACATTTTTATTTTTTATGACATACAACAATTTGTATTCGGAATAATTGTTGGTTTAATTGTTGGTATTGAATATACTTATTAAAATACTTACAACTATAGCCTGACAAAATTGTGTATTTCAACATTCGCAAAGAATGTTGCAAATTTTAAAAATGCATTCCGAGTATTTCATGTTTTTTCCGATGATTCATCGAATTTTGTAATGATTTGAAATTACAAATTTAATTTGATTAACGTTATTTATTTTCTTATAATTTATTAAAGTTACATTTTGAGAGCAAATTAGGAATGAAATAGTTTTTAAATTTTGTCTTTCTTATATTGAAACGAATTGTTATATGATATATGTTGTATGTTACTGATAATGGAAGCTCTTAATGTACCAAGTGTTGGGCTAACTGATATGCGGCTGTGGAAGAGCATAGAGGGTTTTTCCGATTGAACGATAAGGAAACAACTTTCTACTTTGTGGACATTCGTTTCCGACATATTATCAACGGTTGTGCTTATGACGTTAGTCGCTTGCTTTAGTTACAAGTATAATTCCTGGAACTCTGACCTCAATTTGTGTATAAATAAAATATGAAATGAGGCCGCTACTCTTAACTCCAACCAACTGTTGTTTTGCATTTGACCATTTTGCGGTACAGTTGCTGACGCTTATTTCTACAGATTGCGACCATCGAATTTTGTGTTTTTCGGCTTGAACACAACGCGCCCAGAATGCGGGTGTATTGCGATAAACATTCCGATCGAAGAAAATACTTGTTATAAAAACCCCAAATCTAATTATAGTTTTTTTTTTTTACAGTTTTTGTGTGGTTTTTAATAGTTTTTATAGATTCCTAGCTGATTGCACACTAATTAAATTTGTATACTATATATTTGATACTAAAATAAGGCATTTGCATTTACTTTCTATTATTGCAGGTAAGTAAATGAAAGGATTATCGAAAATCTATAACCACATATGCTTATTGTCACATGGCCCTGTTCCAGTTCGCATTACAGTCGTCCCCCCTTCAATTTTCGCTCATGTAAGTGCCTTTGATACTCTCAATGTAAACAAGGTCAGTGCGGCCTGTTTATACCCTGTACAAACACTTTTAGCAGGGTACACCTGACTGGTAGCTGCGAGTGATTCTAGCGTTGATAAAAGTACGGTAAAAGTCAGAGGGAAAAGTCGCATCGCAATTTAAAATGATCTCTTAAATAAAAATGTTTTGGTTTTGAGATATAATTTTTAAATACACACGAACATGCTTTTAAATAGGAAAGTCTTTTTTCTATTTGATGACTTATGTTATGAAGAAATACATTTCTATAAAGTATTAATAAAAACTATTAATTTCAGAAAAATGATATTATAATATTCAGAAACTTTGATCTTTCTCTCTTTTGTAAAATCATACAAATTTGGTTTGATATGCTAAATTTTAGCTGCTATAATTGTTAGTATTAAATTATCAACATTTACACACTATCTGAAATATAGGAAAGTACCGGACTATAAACTAATATAGAATGTGAAAAACACTGTTTTTTAGAACGATAAAACTACTTTATTATTAATTATTTTTCTTATTGTGAAAACTTTGTGCATTAAATACATTCAGAATTGCAATCTAACAGATAGCGCTGTGCAGGGTATGTCATAGTTAAGCCAACATCCGTTTTGAATTACGAGTCGAACGTGTACAGTCGCATGACCCATCAGTGTTGCTAAACATAACTTATCGTAGATAAAGACTGTGTTGACTGTGATATACATATACAGTGAAACACCTGCAGCCGCCTGGAAGCGTAACTAAAAAACAAATCGACCTATTTAAAAAGCGCAGCGCAACGCGACTTTGATAACACCAAATTTCGAGACCTCAACTGGACATACAGCCTTACCATTGTGAATGTGTGTGTGTGTGTAGGTGTGTTGGTGTGTGTATAGTTGAGGGGTATTTTACTAAGGCCTTTAAATTTAGTTGCTTATGTCATAACCAAATTGTCTGCCGATAAGATAAGGGCAGGGCGCACAAGAAGCTGCTCAAAGCGCTGCCAAATGCAAGGCAAAATACAAAAACAAAAAACGGCAACTGGGGCTGAAACCCACACATGCACACACTCACACGCACACACACATATGCAGGCATGTATGGTATCACTTCACTGTACGCTTAGGAAATGCCAATCGTCGCGAAGCTTTCAACTCACTAAAGCACTCAAAATTGCGCTCGTGCTTTTGCACACACACTCGCGCTCTCTCTTTCGTGTCGCTCTCTCTCAATGTCGCTCTCTCGCTGTCGTGCTTTGCTTTACTGTGCGGTGCTGTGCTGTGCTGTGCGGTGCTGTGCTGTGGAATGCGATAAGCACTCAAAAGTCGCTGGCGCTGGCGTATAAAAGTCATCGGCGCAACGATGACGCATTTAGTTGAAATCCGTTGGTCGTGCCGAACAGCAAGTGTCCAAATTTATAAGCAAAAAAAGAAAAAATAAAGGAAAAGAACAAATTTATCATATCGATAAAGTAACGCATTCGATTCAGTGAAACGCGAAATTCTGTTGAGCATTTCGCAAATAATAACACAGCATGTGCGGTGTGAGCGAGTACGCGAATAATTCTCGGAAAAACTGACAGTAGCAACAATAAAACCATTGAAAAAGACAACACACATATAATATAAATATACAATAAAAACAGATACACATGCAGATTCAGATTCAGATACATTTTTGAGTGCGCGCCGAGGAACAACAAATACTAAAATACTAAATACTACAACAAAAGCGAATTTCGCCACAAATTTGCATTCGTCATCGCAGCAGACGCCGCAATCGCCTGTTGCGCCTTTTAGCGGCAATTTAAACTTAAGCGGATATATATACATATACATATATATCCATATACATATATTTAACATATAAATACAACAAATAAACCGCAAACATGACGCTGGATAGCTATAATATCTTTGGCGATGAATACCATCTATTTAACATGCCGTTGTCGCCATTGCCCAAAACGGTAAGCATATTTTTTTCAAATATACAATTTCTTCAAGCTTATCTCAATCAGTTAGAGTGGAGTATTCAAATTTCCAGAAGTTTCGATCACTTGTCGAGTTGCAGTTTTGAAAACATCTATAAATACTGAGAAATATTTTCTGTATTCTTTCTATCGCTTTTAAGTGCAATGCATTCATTGAGCTTATCAGCGCTGAAAATTCTTTTAAACCCTTTTTATGTTTTTTTTTGTATTGTGTTTTTGTTCGCCCCCAATCGACATAGTGTGTTTGTATATATATTATATATATATATCGAATTTTATGTGATTTGCTGTTTTGCAATTGAATTTGTTTGTTTAATGATTAGGGTAGGGTGTCGGTGTCGGTACCCTTATCAAGCGCTCCGATTTCTGTTCTGTTCTATTTCTAATTTTTTGTACTTTTTTGTGTTTTCTGCGATAATAATAATTATTGACTGTGGCAAGTGTAGAAAATATGGTTTGTGCAGGCGGTACAATGTCCTAAAACCAGCATTTTGCTTGCGCGCTGCTGATAAGCCAACAAAAAAAAAAACAAAACAAATATCTCAAATATTTGTACAGTTATGACGACCTTGATTATGGCATTAAGAGATATGAAAGGGGAAGCCTAGAAAACTAGTCAATCTACGTTTTTTTCGACGATCGATCGAAAAACAATCATTATTCGAAAAATATGTTGATAACTAAATGAAATATGCTTGAATTACGCGTATCGCTGTTTTATATAATAATTAAATTATATAAAACGCCGATAATACTTCGTCTAGCCTATTCCATGCAGTCATTAAACAAATCAAGAAATCTTAAATTACTCCTTACAATTCGTATTGAAATTCAATGATTATTTTGAGCTTTAAAATAATCATAAGTTGAGCTGGTCTATAAAATCGAAGCATTTGAAAATTAGTGCTTAATTTGATTGTTTGTTGAGCATTCAAAAAATCTTAAATATGCTAAAAACTTTGCTTACGATTTGTATACAAATTGTTTTATTATTTTCAGCATTAATTTAATTGCTGCATCAAAAAAATCGAAATATATGAAAAATCTGCTTGCTATTGGTATACAAATTGTATATAAAATATTTTCAAAAAATTGAACTTGTGAATAAAACCTGATATGCGATTTATGTGTGTTGCAGGCGAATCTATTTCGTTTGCTACCCGCTTTAATTGCAACCCGTTAAAAAAGCCAAAATCACGTTGCCAACTCATGAGCAAACCACAACAACAACAACAACAAAACAAGTTCATTATTTTTGTTTCTTTTCTGTATATTTTTTGTTGCTGTTGTTGTTGTTTTTTGAGCATATTACGTCCATTGCATTTCACAGTCCAGTGATCGGGCGTCTGGAACCGGCGCCGTTTGACGATATTGCACACGTGCGATTTTCGTGCCATTTTATCAAGTTTTTTTTTTATAATTTTTTGTATTTTTTGGCAAGCTTATATCTAGTCCCTTAATGCCTGTACATGTACATAAATATATACATATATATATATATATTTGTATACGTGCTGGCACCTTCCGTTTTACGCGGCACAGGGTTCAACGGGTTCAGTGCGCGTAGAAAGCGAATTGAAATTGGCAGCAGGCGTCGTCGTTGACCCTTTCAACTTGAGGCTTAAAAGGCTGGCCCAAAAGGCTGTCGCGTGACACTTGATACTCGTTTTATATACGATTTCATAATGCATCTGTACACATGTAGGGACATGTATCTTATATATACATCTACTTATATATACTATATATAGATATATGTAGATATGTAGTTATTGCCACAATTGGGGCGGTTCAAAGTAACATGCTTCAAGTCAAACACTTGCGACTTCTGACATATGCAACTTAATGCGCTCAAATTGTTTAATTAAAGGCGCTTAAGTACATTATGCACATGGAGAAAAACTCCTTAATATTTATGTATACATTTTAAGTATTCTTTTTTGTTTCGGAAATATGTTGTTTCTATAAACATTTATTTCTTATATTTGTTGTGCACTTTTAATATATTTTTTATTTATGACTCTGACCTCTTTTTATAATTTAAATATGTTTTGCGCTGGCTTCAGGACAGTTGCTAATTTCTTTTATATATATAATATTATCAAGATGAATCCCGACGGGTTTTGAAATATATTGAAGTGTATAATAAGTAAAAAATAAAACATATGACATTTGCAGCCAGCGAAAAACATATTTTTTGACAACTTGCGGCAAGGAAAATTATTATTTATGGTACATGAAAATGGTTAAATTAGTTCTTGATTTATTTATCTGTTTGTTGTTTTTTATTTAACAAATTTGTTTGCTTTGAACCACTAATGAGTTGTGTGAGCATACATAATCGACATCTTTTTTCTCTCTGTGTAGTCAGTCATTAGGGTGCGAGGGAGTTCCAAGGGCAGACTATCAGACTTTAAGTAGATGCACGTCAAAAACTCGTTGAATGAAGCAGTTGCTGTTTGTGTGTGGGTATTGTGGAGTAACAGAGAGAGAGAAAGAGCGAGAGAGAGAGAAAGGGTAGAGGCAACAAAGAGACTATAGACAATTTCAACTTTCTTTGGCACATAATTTTCGACCAAAAAAAAAGCACTTTTAATTAACTGAATATGGCAAAAGTACACAAAGTGTGTGTGGGGCAATTTCAGACGATTGTTTTCGAACGAATTTTAAAGTTTTATTTATTTTGTGGTTTTTTGCACATTATTTATAATATATACATTTTTTTTTGTTTTGTTTTTGCTCACTTTGCAACGAGTAGTTGCGATCAGTGTGGGCGTCTGCCTGACAGTTCGTGGGCATGCCGAAAGTAAGAAAGCACTTGACAAATACGTGACAGCCAGTGCCAAAAAGAAACAAAAGAGAAGAAAAAAAAACCAGTGCTCAACAATACGCACAGCTACCCATGCATAAGAGTGCTGAACAATGAAATAAAATGTGGAGTAAGTGGTGCAAATATGGTTCAAAGACAACTGACATAAAGCAATAAATATAGCTGAAACATGGATTAATTTTTAATTTGATTTTCTTGGGTTTTTGCTAATAGTTCTCAACTGTTTTAGATCGACTTTAAATGCACTTCCATCTCTTCATTCCGTCTGTGGTTAAACTGTAAAATTATTGCAATTTTTGCACACATGAAAGTTGCAATTAATTATGGCTATTAGTCATCTATAGAGTTGTTTGGCTTATAAATGGCCATTTATAATGCAGCCCAGTTAATTGCAGCGTGAAGTTGAACATTGCTCAATTGCAACTCAGTTCAGTTATTATTATATATATATACAGTTGCGGTGAAGATAATAGTAGTACTGCTTCAGATAATTATTATTCTCAATGTTTTTTAGGGACTCTTTCATATTTCAATTGAAGCTTGCTTTTTTTGTTGTTTCTACTTACATAATATTTATTAAATAATATTTATCATCACTAAACAATCTTTACTTGTCTACAACTATTATATTGATGCTAATTTGACTATAGCTATCCCATCTTTTGATATTTACTTATAATAAGTATTGATTACTCGAGAATTTGGGCATATTTTGGCTATTTTCACTACTATTATTTTGACCGCTGCTGTATGCTGTACACATATTTATTGAGTCT